CCTATGACATCACATTGTAGGGGAGAAGGGTTCAGGTGATGGAGTGCTCTGGCTTTTCTTTGGACTCTCTTTATCTCTTCTATTTGTCTACTAGTGTTTTTGAAAGATGTTGTTTTTTCATGGACCAATCTTCTCCAATTTGTTCTTTCTGTAGTTTCATCTACTAATTAAGCAAGGTGTTTTTGAGCCCAAAAAGAGAAAAACATTAAAAAATTGAATATTTCTTTATTTTTGTATAATTCCTCTCTCTCTCTCTCTGTCTCTCTCTCTCAATCTCTCTCTCTCTCTCTGTCTCTCTCTCTACATACATATATATATATATATATATATATATATATATATAAAAGGAAGAGTTATAGTAGTTCCAATGAAAAAAGTGTGTGCATTGCAACCCACTTTACAATGACTGTTCCTATGAGAAGTTCTACTCATAACAGATCGACAAATTCATGTTCAACAGTTAGTGTAGAGATAAGTCAATGGTCTTCCTACACTACAAGCAGAAAAGAACTTTTACCTCTGTAGACATCTTTGGCAGGGCTCAGCCACAAAAGTGGGTAGGTAAGCACACAGACAAACCATTATCCCATAATTACCTGCCAAGACAGTAACAGAAATATATTTTCTTCCCCTACACTACACATTGACAATCTTAACAGGGAAATATTGTCATGTTAGTCATTGACAATTCTGATCATATTTTTACTAAATTCAAATGGACAGCTTTGCTTTATATCAAGGATTTATGAAAAAACTAACTTAAAATCACTTTACTCAAGACATTAAAAAACTTAAGATCATCAAGTGTGAAGTTGTACCAGTTACTAAGGATAACATACTATATATAAATACCAAGAGCTATAAAAATGAAACCTATAAAAAGACACTAGTAAAAAAAAAGCATTTTTAAGGTAACTGCTTGAATGTATGAATATTAAATATATAAACGTCATATTAACTCACTAAAACTTACCGTAATTCTTGACCTCTGAAAATCCCCTTTCTTAGATTTTCAATACATTTCTATAGTAAAATAAGTAACAAATATTTTCATTATTGTTATAGCCTTGTTAGGGCCAGAAATAAAAACACAAAGAGAGGAACTGAGTTAAACAAATATATTAACAGAAACAGTAATATAAACATATACAAATGAGAGTGTTACAGCAAGAATGTTCGGTCCGACTGTCAGAGCTGATGGCTGGAAACTTCCCTCTCCAAAGGCAGTACCTGCTCCTATTTGTAGCTGGGAGAGTTCATGCAGGCGTGGGTAAATTACCATAACAATTATAGATATAACAACATCTTTATCTTATTAATGATTGTATCAAAGATAATCAGTTTCTTCCTGATTTTCCCACCTTCAGAGATCATCAAACTTCAAATTGTCCCTTTCTTCATGATTTTCAAATCCTTTCTATAGTAAAATTCATATAATAGACTTGATTTTCTGTATACAATGTATGAATTGATTTCTTTATCTTGCACAAATAAGTAGCACTCCAAAGATTCCAAGTCGTACCTCAAAGATTGCAAATACAGGGTGTCCATAAATTTTGTGTGCACTTTAAAAAATTTATAACTTTATTTATATTTGCAATAGAAATAATCTGTAAAAAATGTTATAAAGTTTAATGTGCCTAATTTTAAGTACAGCTAAAATAACTAAAGTGATTTCAGGCATTACTGTAAATCATTTGGCAAATGTTTTCCGTGAACTGCAAAATCGTATTACCCTTTGTATTGCTAATGATGGAGGACATGTGGAAACTTAAATAAAATTTCAATAAAACCTTAAAATATATAGATTTACTTCTTTCCAATCCTTTTTACAAATTACTTCTAAGGCAAAAACAGATAAAGTTATAAATTTTTTAAAGTGCACGTGAACTTTATAGAAACCCTGTCTTAAATATATGATATCTGTATTCCATCACTACCATTTAACTTTAATTCTTAACCACTAACAATCCATTTTAGCTGATTTTTAAAATATTACTAAAGTCATTAAGGATTTTGTTTAAGATCAAAGATTTATAACAATTCTTAATGGGAAAATATTAGTTGAAACTCTTGATAAAATGATAAAATTTATTTTTCATCTGATCCTTAAAATCTCATAGAAACTTTAATACACTTTATTATGGTTGGTTTTGTTTAAGATCAAAGATTTATAATAATTCTTATTGGGCAAATATTAGTTGAAACTCTTGATAAAATGATAAAATTTATTTTTCATCTGATCCATAAAATCTCCTAGAAACTTTAATACAATTTTAAACATAGTTTCTTCACAGAAGTTTTAGATTTAAAAATACTTCACTGTTGTGAAGAAAAATATGGTAAAAACATTTATATTCCCAAAATTTAACAAATCTTTTCCTTGCACGAGTGCATAAAGTAACTTTTTTAACATAACTTCAGAAACTTATATAAGAAACTTCTATTTCATTTTTTTAAATTTATTTTTTTCCTTCTTTATGCTATTTTTTGTAATTTAATTAGTTCCGTAATTTGGACAACATTGGTGTCAACAAACAAAACTTGTTTACTTTTTTAACTCTAAATAAACAAATGAATGAAACAAAAAACAATTTAGACTTTAGTGAAATCTGACTTTTACAAAATTTTTTTGAAAAGATTAGCCATATCCTCTCTGGTTTGAACTGCATTTTCTTTAAGTACCCAACATTTCTACGTGGATTGTGCCTAATTAGTTTAAGGTTACACAATCCGATTATCCCTGCTTTTTGGCAAAAGTCAGAAATTCAATAAAAGATCATTTGATCTGACAGTTGTATTAAGAACTCATAAATTTGTTTGTATCCACTTCTGACTGTGTAAGGAAAACTAATTTTTTGACAGTTTTATGCTTCAAGTCTCTTAGTTTTTAGTAAATCTTTAAAATTCCTTCTTATTTGTTAATTGTTCATTTGTTTGTTTATTCATTTGTTTCAATACAAGGAATTGCCAAATTGAGGCCAAACAGTTGTTACTGTTTTTGTTTAACCTTTGAGGTTTCAAAAGTTTTTTTTATCTTTCTCAATTTCTACACCATTCAAGAAATACTGAACATCATAGAAGCCTTTGCATCAAACCTAGGTTTTGCTAAAAAAAAATTTTCTTCATCATTTTTTAACATATTCACCCGTAATTTGAATATATGAACACTTATTAAGATTTTTTGGCTGAATTTCTTGGATGTGGAGTTATCATTATTTACATTACTTACATTCAAACTATTGTCCTCATCTTTTTTAGCGTTATCTTTTTTTTTATCATTTTAATCAGTCAAGGCACTAAAGTCACTAAGACACAAGGTGTGGAAGAATTAGAAACAGAACTATCAGTAATGAGCGGGAAGAGGAAAGAGTAATCAGGAGGACAGTAGATGGTGATTGACATTACATTTAAATTTTTTGCAGATTAAAGTTGGCTGGAAAGCATGAAGGAAAGTTTCACAAGCGAGAAGTGCAAAAAAAGAAATTGTTAGCATAAAATTTATGGATACATCTAGCCAGCTCAACTGTAAATTGATGAAATCTCAACCCCAGTCTGAATAATTACCATGAAAGTATTTATAAAAAAAGTCCAGAGAGGCAGTGGGAAAGTTTTGGCTATTGCGCCCTCTGGCCTTATTCAGGGGTCTTTCAATCTGGGTAACCTTCAGGGAAGTTTGAACTGAACACTTTATTTAATCTACAGGGTTAGATTGTTCTCATTTCACTATATCATCTTGTTCTTATTTAGTACTGCTCAGTTATTGCTGACCTTGGTTCCACCAAGTCTGTATAACCAGGCTCAAGGATTGAACTCACAATTATTATGTCACCAGTCAAAAAGGTGGAGCCGCTAAACTAATCTGTTGACATGCTGCTGCTTGTCACATTTGATTGCATTCACTAAGGCTTCTCTTTTCTTGTTGCTGCTGCTGCTATTCTTGTAGAGGCCTTGCTGTCATTTTATCTTTCTTTACTTATTAAGTTTCCATATTGTATTAATTTATAAGCTAAGCCTACTGATAACAGTCATAATCTATCACATAATGATTTCTTCAGATGTCTAACTCTCCAATTTATTTTTCTGTCTAGTATTTTTACTTTTTCCTCCATACATATTGAAAGGTGTCCATAATCATTACCCAATTACTAAAATTTTGCTTGAGGATGAAACAGGTCTTGATACTTTAATTCAATTTAATTTTAATAATTATATTGAGGTTTTCGGCTCTTGTTTTTGAAATATGAGAACTCTTATATAGCGAAGGAATCATATTTTTAAACAAATAATTATATATATATATATTATTTTTCTTGTCATAGTATGTGACTCATCTTATATGATGCCAAAATAGACTTTACTTAGTGTCCATCCATTTTAATGCCTCCAAAACACAACTGCTCTCTTTTAATTGTCTGAAAGAACACTTTTATCCTTCCATCAGTATGGCTGATTCTAACCTCCTAATTACCAGATTAATATTTTCTGCTGACATGCTAGGTTTACTGCTAAGAATGTTGGTTTCATTTCTCTCCAGAATCTATCTTGCATATTTATATGTTTACCATTCAAACTTGCTTTGAATACTGCTGCAAAACATCTGATCCCAGGGCTCCTGTAATATATTTAGAAATTCTTGATAAAAACCAAAGAAGAATCTTCAATGTTACTGGCCCTGAGTTGGTATCTAATCTTCAGTCACTTTTCCTGTGTCTTTCCTATAAATACCTTCATGGTAATTGCTCTGATGAACTTTCTGTTATGGCACCTAGACTTTATGAAGTTAAGTGCAGTACTAGATTGGCAGCTAGGTCTCATCATTTTACAATTGAAATGACTAGATATTACCATAATCTCTCTTTTCTGGCTTCTTGCTTTCCAGTCAACTTTGATCTTCAAAATTGTAAATGCAATATCAGTCGCTATCTTCTATCTTCTTAATTCCTGTTCTTTTATTTTTCTCTCTCCTTAATAATGCTCTCCCACATATTCTCTAACACTCAGTAACTCATTGATATAGACAAAGATAACAGATTCAGATAGATAGATAGATAGATAGAAAGAAATCGGCTAACAGATATAGAGGGAGACACAGAGAGAGAAACAGACTGATATATATATATATGAATAGACTGAGAGATAGACAGAGAGAATGAGAAACAATTAATATAAATAGAAATTTATAGACTGATATAGATAGATAAAGAAATTCTGAAGATAGATATGAACAGATTGAGATAGATAGATAGATAGATAGATAGATAGATAGATAGATAGATAGATAGATAGATAGATACATAGATAGATAGATACATAGATAGATAGATAAAGAAATACTGAGAACATATATGAACAGATTGAGATAGATAGATAGATAGATAGATAGATAGATAGATAGATAGATAGATAAAGAAATACTATAGATAGATATGAACAGATTGAGATAGATAGATAGATAGATAGATAGATAGATAGATAGATAGATAGATAGATAAATAGATAATAGATAGATAGATAAATAAATACAGATTGAGATGAATAGATAGATAGATAGATAGATAGATAGATAGATAGATAGATAGATAGATATGAATATAGTGAGGGAGAAAGACAGATAGGTCTAAAGTGGGATAAAATAAATTCATTCACATGATCTAAGTTTATGAGCATTGCCTATCAGTAAATACTTATAAACAAAGAAATCCATGTACAAAAGAGAAAATATACATACAACATTCATTGATTATTCAAACAATATAAATTCAATACATTAATAATTAACAATAAATCATTAAATTTTTTTATTGCTCAATCATGTTTGAAGACATTCAGAAATGATTATTGTTCACCAACAAAATTTGTTATTTAATAGATAAGATTTTTTTTGGTTGCCTGGTCTTCTAGGCAAATAAATATCAAATTATCTTGCCTTTTAGTCATAAACTGTCAAAATGGGACAAAGTTAAAAACTAATGGAATTAACATTTACCCAATAACCTTTGATGAATTGAATTATAAACTCTTCAAGAGAGAAATCAAAACAAAACAAAAGAGCGACATCATTTTAAAACTGAAAATTCATTTTATGGAATGTTAAATGTAACATTCTTCTAATTCCTGTCTGTACAGTTTGAAAAAATAAAGTCTTCAATGCCTGAAGGATGCAAGCATTTACTGAGCTTAGCAGAACTTAGCACAGTTTTGAGATTTAGAAATCCATACCTGTTCATATATATATATATATATATATATATATATATATATATATGTGTGTGTGTGTGTGTGTGTGTGTGTGTGTGTGTGTGTGTGTGTATTGTAAAACACAAAACAACTTAGAAAAGGGTTTGCTATACAACTTATGAAACCATTGGTAGTGGTTGGTTAAAGTATGCTGAAATATATCATACTATATATATAAGATAGCAATATATATATTTATATATGGAGAATAGTATTGGGAAAAATGTATGATAAATTGGAAAAGTTTTCTTGGAATGTGGTTCATTCCTTATGATGTCATCTGACTAAACTTGTTATGTTTGTGCAACAACACATGTGAACGATTGAAGGATGCTAGGAATTTTAAATATCGTCTTAAGATGTGCTATATGTATGGGATAAAGTGCTCAATATCAGAGATAGAGCGTGTGTAAATATAAAAGTGAACATAGAAGTCAACACTTAGAGGTGACAGTCTGTTTCATGCTAGAAGCAATCGTCAGGCCACACTGACAATTGCATCTAGCATGACGATTGCATCTAGCATGAAACAGACTGTCGCATCTAAAAATATTGATTTATATATATATATATATATATATATATATATATATATATATACACACATATATATATATATTTATATATATATATATATATATTTATATATATATTAGTAAATACATATTCCCATTTTCAAGCACTTTCTGTTAACATTTCAGTCTGTTAAATTTTTTGAAATGTCACATTTTGTGAGTTGGCTGTCAATGAATATCATGCATCCATGATATATATATATATATATATATATATATATATATAGACACTTTGCTGAGTGGTTAGAATGTTCACATTCTGGCCCTGAGACCTGGGTCCAAATCACACCATGGTCGATTTGTCAGGAACATGACTTCCTGATGTTATCGGACTGGAGGGGTTGATCCCAGCATGCGGCACCTTTGGAAAGTGCCTGAAAACCATACCACAGGTTGACCCAAGCCTTGTGGGTGAAATTGGGTAGACGGAACCCTTGAGCCCATTGATATCTCTGCTAGCAATATGACGTCATCACAGCCTCGTTCAAATTATTAATCATGCTAGATAACATGGTCTTTCCCAGAAACTAACTGAGGTCTACTCAGCATAGTTGCAGCATAAACCACTGGTGGGGTCTGTAGTTGTTGAGTAAAGATAAATGCAACAACAGGGATTAATAGATGAGTATCCTCGAATATAAGTGGCCAGCTATATATACACACACATACATACAAACACACACACACACACACACACACACACGTGCATATATATATATATATATTTTATATATATATATATATATATATATATATATATATATATATATATTTTATATATTTATATATATATATTGAAAATAAAAAATATTAAAAAATATTAAAAATTAAAATCTTCAGACACTGGGTTGTAGATTAATATTCTTTCGTTTTTTTATTATTATTTCATTTAGATTCCTCATTTAGATATATATATATATATATATATATATATATACAGAGAGAGAGAGAGAGAGAAAATTGAGAGAGAGAAAGAAAGAAAGACAGAGAGCAAGAGAGAGAGGAAGGGCAATTTTTAAAAAGTGGCTGCTGCTATTAAAACATCGATCTTTAATTATGAATTGAGCACTATTGGCTACTGACATTTTATACATCACGTATATAATACGTCAAAAATTTCACTTTCTCTGCTGTGTGCTGATAGCTTAGGGGTAGAATCTCTGACTGATGCCAAATCCATCAAGTTTTGATCCCAGCTTGAAGCAATCAGATGTCTAGCTATACTGATACAGTGAAACAGGCTTGTATATATATATATATATATATATATATATATATATATATATATATATATATATATATATAATATGTACATACATACATATATATATATATATATAGTAAAAAATCTAAAAAAACTATTTGATAATGTCTTCTTTATGTGCCATCTTCTTTCAGGTCATAGGCGATAATGACTCTCCACAACTTCCTGTCTCTTGTAACTCTTAATAAACCTTCTCCTTCTACTATTTCTCCCAAGCACTGTTCTGCCACCTATTTTTTCAATCTCATTAAGTATGTCATATGTTTTGTTCCTCTGTCCATCTTGCTCTCTATCTGTCCCACGAGTATCAGATTCTCCAAGCCTTCCTTCTTCATTACATGACCCAGAAACCTCAACTGTCTCTTCCTAATGTTAAGTATTAGTTTCCTTTTCATTTCCATTACTCATATGTTCAGTCCACAGCATCCTCAGTATCCTTCTGTAGAACCACATTTGTTGATTCAAGTCTCCTCTTCATCTTGAGGAGATTGTCCAGCACTCACTGCCATACAGGAGGACAGATATCTGTACTCTTAGTACTCTTTTCCTATCTTTCTCTGCTTAGCTTTAGAAATGCTTTCTTGGCAATCCCAATGCACCTTTTTCCATCCTCTGTTAAAACACTTCCCAGATATTTGATTTTGGTACCACTGATTTGCAATTCAGACTTTTTTCTTACCCTTTTGCTAATGCCCATGCATTTTGCCTTCCTGCAGTTTATGTTTAATCCTTAGGTACTTTCTGCGGAGTGAAAGCCAAATTTACATTCTAATTTTCACTAGAAAGATTTTTGAAAATATTAAAAAAATAAACAAAATATCCTTAACAATCAAACTTCTGTATGTATATATGTATATAATGTTGTTCAATAATAATAATAATAATAATAAATAAAATATATAATTCTGAAATTAGATATATAATTCCTGAAAGAATTACTACTTCCCCAGTCTAACATGCACAGCCACAATCAAGAGAAAACTGTTACTCATCCAATTCCCCCCCTAGAACTGTGGCTCTATTGAGCAAGTTGCGCATAACCTCATTTATGGTATTGGGCATCATCTCTAAATTAGACTCCCATAAGGGTAACAGAGATGGGATACCAGCTGTTATCCTGTAGAAATGTGCTCCTGAACTGGCTCCTGTCCTCTCCAAACTACATAACTACTGCCGCAAAGACTCTTGCTTTTCAGCCTGTTGGAAGTCCTCATCTATTGTACCTGGAGACCCTTCTGACCCCTAACTACCGTTCTATCAGTCTCCTATCACTCTTCAGCAAAGTTTTTGAATCTTTAATCAACACCCAAATGGTTAAGAACCTTACATCCCATGATCTTGCCTGATCTATCGCTGATGTGCTCATGGCCATAACTGAATTTGTTTACCAAGCAATTCACAATAATGAAGAAGCTTGTGCCATGGCTCTAGATATCTCTAAAGCATTTGGTAGGGTTTGGCATCCTGGCCTTCTTTGTAAGCTTCAGGGATACAGAATTTCAGGATGATTATTTGACTTAATAGAATCATTCCTGTCAAACTTTGTAATGAAGGTTGTCCTTAATGGATTCTCCTCCAGCTCTTTCTCATGAATACAAGTGTTCCCCAGGGTTCTATTCTGGACCCTACACTGTTTCTGATCTTCATTAATGATCTTCCCAATATCATCAGTTCCCAAGTAGGCATCTGTGCAGATGACACTACTATTTACTCCTGCCTTGATACCAAATCCAGCATCGCTGACAAAACTATCCTGTCTCAAAAAGGACCTCCAATCTGATGTTGACTGGAGCAAGAAATGGCTGGTTAACTTTAATGCCACAAAAACAAAACTTCTCTCTTTTACCCAGTACAGGGAACCCTCCATGCTTCCCATCAGAATGCATGACACTCAACTCAACTAGAGCACCTCTCTGCACCTGCTTGGTCTCATACTGTCCGCTGACCTGAGATGGAACAAATACATTGAATCAATAGCTTCATCTACCACAAGTAAAGTTGGTTTTCTGTGTCATGCCAGAAAGATTTTCTCATCTGATTCCATCCTTCAAGTGTATAAATCAACCATTCGCCCTTGCATGGAATACTGCTCATACGTATAGTCTGGAGCTTCCACTGTTCATCTTAAGGTTCTCAACAAAATCCAACGATGGATATGCAATGTGATTGGCGCTGATCTGGCATCTCGTTTACAGTTGCTCTCTCTCAGACATGCCATTGATTCCCTCTGCCTTTTCTACAAATACTTTGACAAGCTACTTTCACTGGTTCCCAAAGTGCATGAATTTAAACGTGCTACTAATTTGACATCTCAGTGTAACTCTTTCACTATTGAAACAGTTAAATATAGTCATCTCTTCTATTCCAATAACTTCATGTCTTTTACTTCCCTTCTGTGGAACTCCCTTCCTCTTACTTGTTTCTCTGATATCTATAATCTTCAAATGTTCAAATACAATGTCAATTGACATCTCTAGATGCCTTGATCTATTCCCCATCCTTCTCTACATGCTTTCCTCTATCGTGCCTCTTTACTCTTGC